ATATATGCCTGTATAACAACGGCGTGCTTCAACAACATTGTTTTTTTCTAAATGCTTCATTTGTTGTTATTTTACCTGTTGTAGCATCCGTTAATATTGTAGCACCCATTGTTGTAGAATCCGCTAGTGTTGTTGCATCAGTTGCTGATATAAAATCAGCCGATGTTGTATTACCTGTTTTTGTAAAATCTACAGTTGTCTTATGCGTCGCGTTTGTAGAATCAAGCGATGTTGTTGCATTCGTTGCTGTTGGAGAACTTGCTGATGTTGTATCATTAGCTGTTGTAGCATCCAATGGTTTTGTCGGAAGTGTTGCTGTCTTAGAAATTAGTATTGTTGTCGCATCTGTTGCCATTGTAGAACCGGCTGTTGTTGCATCCGTTGCAATTGTAGAATCCACTAATATTGTCGTGACCTCTGCAGTTGTGGCATTCGCTGATATTGTATTGTCTGTCGAATATGCTATTGTTTCCCCACCCTTTGCTGTTGTAACATTTCCTGTTGTCGCATTAAATTCCCATAATTCTGATGCACCCGTTGCTGTTATATAAGCCGTTGATGGTTTCGCTTGCGTTGCTGTTGTAGGATCCACTGATTTTCCCGCAACCGTTTTTGATTCAAAATCAGATTTTGTAGCAGGCGCTGATGATGAATCCGCAATTGTTGTCGCACCTGTTGTTGCTGTAGAATCGGCTGTTGTTGTTGCATCCGTCGCTGTTGTAGAATCCGCTAATGTTGTTGCATCCGTTGCTGTTGTGGCATACATTGATGTTGTGTCATACGCTATTGTAAAAACTGATATTGTATTATTTATAGATTCCGCTGTTGCTTCCGCATCCTTTGATGTTGTAGCATTCGCTGTTGTCGCATTGAAATCCCATAATTTGGTTGCACTCGTGGCTGTTATATAATCCGTTGATGTTTTCGCTTGCGTTGCTGTTGTAGGATCCACTGATGCTCCCACAATCAATTCTGATTCAAGATCAGATTTTGTAGCAGGCGCTGATTTTGAATCCGCAAATGTTGTCGCATCTGTTGTTGCCGTAGAATCGGCTGCTGTTGTTGCATCCGTTGCTGTTGTAGAATCCGCTGTTGTTGTCGTATCCGTTGCTGTTGTAGCAACCATGGATATACTGACAGCAACCGTGGTTGAATTTCGACTATTGTTCAAATGTGCTGTTGGACCATCTGAAATATTAAC